TGGATCCTCCGGAGCGATCCTCAGCAGGCGCGGCGGCGCGGAACTGCTCCGACGGTAGCGAGGCTCGTCCTCTTCATCAAACTCGAGGAACGTGTTCTTGACCTTCGTTGTCCACGCTGGGAGTGTGGCAGCACGCATCATGATAAGAGCGCTGGCGGCAGGAGAGGTGAAGAGAGGGCTTTAGGGTTTAGCTCTTGCGTCTTTTGACAAACTGTAGCTAGTTGGCTCATGTTGACCGTGAGTGGAAGGCCGAAACAAAAGGACCGCCACAAAAGCCGACACCTGCTGTTGAGAGCAACGCTTGAGCCAAAAGGGTTTAGGGCTTGTAGAGTCTCGACTGTTTTGCCTCCTGCCTGGCTAGGACGCAGCCGTAGAGCAGAGTAGAACAGTATCAGTGCGGCGAAGGGAAACCCGACTCTCAGCCTCGCTTGCCTTTCGACTTCCAAAGTAGCACCAAGGGATGGCTTCTTGTTGCCAAGGTGCGATAGTAGACATGGAGCGGATCCTCCAAATTTTGCTTGTCTGTGGACATGAAGGAAAACCTGACAGGAAATCTGGAACAAGACCATTCGGCATGCAGAAGGGTGGCAATTCGCAAGCACACGGACGGACAGATACATACTTGTGTAAGTATGTCTGTTTGGATATACTATCCCTCCTTACCCAAAAAGTTCACACGATGTGGCAAAGCAAACCGCTCCAGAGGGCTTTTCTCAGTTCCCCCAACTAAACCCAAACACCAAATCCTCATGCATAACTTGTTAAGCCGCAGCAGAAGCCAGAGTTTACATCTATCTAAAACATGCTGCCTAGTCTCTCGATGATAGGTGTTGAACATGCTTCTTCATCATCACTTACTAGGAGACGACCGCGTCGTACCTTCTTATTATATAAAGGCTTCTCACAAATTCGTATTCGATCATACAAGGTATCTAGAGCTCTGTCCATGGCTCCTATGCTGCGGGCTGGGGTTGTTGCAGTTCTCTGGCAGAGGGGGCGTGTCAGAGGACAAGGCCACCTTCCTATTTTTGGACCGACAAGGAGCTCCCACACCAAGCAGGGAAAACAGATGGATCTCTGCGGTGGGCGGGGGTACACGACAGTGTATACTAGAGGGCCGGAGGCATGGAGAACGAAAGCTCGGCGGTTTTTTCATCCGGTGGATGCAAGCATTTGACCTCGAACAGCTGCTACGCGATGAGCCACCCTTTTTCTCAATTTACTCACCCGTCCCCTTGCCCCCCCAACCAAACCGTCAACCGTTCAATTTGCCTGCCCTAGCAAAGTACTCATAAATCCTGCAACAGTATCAGAAATACACTGGTTTTGCGACCTGGTCTGCCTCTGCTAACAAGAGGACTTAACTCAAGCCTTGCTCCGCGAGCTTTCGCGAGAGATGTATATATGTATGTATGCCTGCATGCATGCATGTACGTATGTGTCTGCGTGTATGTATATATATATATATATCTATCTATATATATACACACATACATATACATATATATATATTATAGTTATATGCGTACATGTGTGTGTATGCATACATACAGACACAAACACCGGTATAGATCTAGGTCCAGGTAAGTGCCCACACACACACACAAATCTTACATGCAGATGCATGGCAGGCTCTGATCTGTGATCTTGTCGACTCATCGGAGAGCCTGGGGTTGTCCTTCTCCTTGTCGAGGAGCAGCTTCTCCTCGGTTTTGCCGACAGTCATAAGTTCATACTGCAATGAATGGCTCTTCAACGGCTATAATAAATAGGTTCATATCGAAATGACTGATATTCGACTTCTACTTGATTACATTATGACACGACTAGTTACTATAATTAACCCTCCGAGTCGAGGATTTCGGCACTACTTGCCGGGCCAAACCCGGTGGAATTCTGCCTGCCAAGTTGCAAAGTCCCAGCCCTCATCTGCCACGAACTCTGCGGTCTTGTCTATGAGCTTCTTCAGCACCTTCTTGGCAGGGCTGAGCACTTCACGAAGTTTCCGGCTTGTCAGCTTCTTTGCTTTGGGCCTGGTCCTCAGGAACCTTGACGACCAGAGTCTTCGCCAAGTTCCACCTGTGCAGCATTCGCCCAACTCTGCGCAGGAAGGTGGGGACGACAGGACTACGCGGATCATATGCGGTAGCGAGCTGGGGGCATGCTACAACACCAGGAAACATGATTCACTCGTTCACTCAAACGTGTAGGGCGCACACACGCACTTATAACTGTAACTGTATAATGTACACGTGTATGTGCATGTGTGATATGTTCTGGCATGGGATCTCTGGTTACATTGGGTCATGTAAAGACAATGACAACTGGACATGTGCGTGTGCGCTTGACATGCATGGGTGCTGAACGGGAAGGCGTGCCCAGCTTGCAAATACGAAGAAACATGGAGAAAACATCAAAAGTAAACGAGGCACCAAAACAGAAAGAACTAGCAGGCAAAAGTGCACACATTAGCATTTACAAACTGAACATAACTGAACCCTGCAAAGGAAACACTAGTGGCACTAAACCCAGCGAGACTAGATTATGAAGGATAGCAGCCTAGTTCGAGCCTAAGCCCTACAGCCCCAAACCGTTTTGAAAAAAACACCTAAACACGATAAACGGAACTACAGTAGGAAGCTGAGGGCACGGCCGGGACTTGCGCTCGCCGGCTCCGCTAGAAGCCTTCATGAGGCGCTGGCAGCAACACGTTTAGGGCTTTGGGTTTGGTCAGGAGTCTAGGGTTTATGTGGCTCAGGATTTTGGGGTTTGGGTTCAAGACTTCGGGTCTAAGGGCAGTTTAGGGTTGAGGCGTCTGTGCGCGGACAGGGACTCGGGCTTGAGGGGTTGAAGGGCTCAGAGGGCTTTCGGAGGCTTTCGGTCCGTAGGCTCGGAGGGCTTAGGAGGGCCCAGGGTCTTAACTCGATCCTAGAAGCACAACCCTCGAAGTAGATGGTAGAGATCAACCCAAAGGCACCTCACACTGATTGATAATGGAGTTTCGGGCCTGGGATCTGACTTCCGACAGATTCAGATCTAGCCGGGCAACTGGGGCGCGATTGGAAAAGGTCTGCGGAGTTGTAGACAACCCTTCTCGAAGTAGGAATTCTGCAAGCACTGGAGTCTAGTAGTTTGATCTACTGGGTCACTCTTCTTCCTTATGCCCTACTACTGGGTCACTCTCTCTCTCTCTCTCTCGATCTCTCCTCCGCTACTGGGTCACTAGATACATTGAACACGTGACCTTGCGCATCGCCATCTTGCACATAATTGCTCGTCCCCGGATCTGCAGAGGCCCTGGCTTGAGGAGAGCTGTCGCCGGATGTGATCATAGGCAAAGGCTGCGGAGTCTCGATGTGCCTCACAGTCTTTGCAGCGAAAACGCTTCCTGAGTCGTGGATTCAAGCTGCGACGCAGCCGAGATGCGGCAGCAACGCAGGCTTCGTGATGACGCTGGGCGTACTCCCCATGATGGCACCAATGTTCCTGCAAATCAAGCTGCAATCCAAGGAGAGACACATGATAGTTGGTGTTTTTCAATGGCCACTCTGTTAGTCTGTTGAATCGGGTGCCGGAGCATGTGCAAAATGTATCCTACTGCCGGGCCTGTGCAGCGAAGAGACACTCTGCCATTGAATGCAAAGCCACAACAGAAGGACCAGTAGGAACATGTCCACAAAGATGCACGAACAGCCTCTACAGGTATGATGTCCTAAAGCACAGCCCATCATTCCGTTTCCTTCCTTCATTCCTAACAAGCACCAACGCAGGGCAGCGGGTCCTCACGGGCTGGATCGCACGGCCCCAATCGATGCGCAAACACATCCCAAAGTAATCCTCGCGAGTGAAACTGCAAAATGATGTTTGCAAAAACCCAAAACGCAACTGATCGATGATCAGATGGCACAGCTGGATAGTGTGGTGGCGGCCCCGCACAGACATGAAACTCGATGCAGACTATTCCGCGAAGTCCTTGCCGTTGAGCTTCAGTCTGGCATACTCCGCTTGTTGCCGTGTCTTGAATTGGACGAAACCACTGTTCATGCCTTGCGACATGCTGGTTTCTCGCGTTATCTCACGATAATAATGCTGTTCCGGGCCTCGCTGGCGTTGCTGCTCGTTCCTCCACCCATCGTTCAGGCAGAAAAGTCAAATCAAACAAGACATCACTCCATCATACTCCATCCAAACCAAAAGGCCGTCCTGGGGTACATGATCTTGATCGATGTTATTTCTCCAAAGCGCCCGAACCTTGCCAGTTCAAATTCTGCTGAGCCTCCTGCTAGACTGTAATAACGCATGACAGCAAAACACGAAACAGCTACAGCCGCAGTACGGCGAGCGGAGCCATGGCATGCCTCGACCAGTAGCGGTAGTAGGAGTAGTAGTAGCGGGAGCAGTAGTAGCAGCAGCAGTGGTGGCGGTGGTGGTGGTAGTAGTAGTAGTAGTAGTAGTGGTGGTAGTGGTAGTAGTGGTAGTCTTCTACCATCGCTCTCCCCCACAACTCTACCAGGAACCCCCCTACATACATACACAGATGCCGATGATAGTAACAACGATAGCAGCAAAGCCCAAGCAAGAGCAATACTGATCTGCTTTGGCCCCAGCTCGCGTGACAGCAGTTCTTCAGTCCACTCTGGCGAGAGAGAGCCGACGTAGAGGTTGTTGGTGTCCTGGCCCTGGCAGACTTCAGTCCACAAAAGGGCGCGACGCCGCATGGGAGCAGCAAACTTACATCAACGGAACGAGTCGTAATACGAAAGGAACGACGGCACTGCAACATGTAAACGCAGCAATAGTGGAAGCGCAACCGCGACATCGCAGCAAGAATAAACATTAGCAGAATAAGTATAGCCATGGCAGCCAAAAACAACCATGACAACAGACAGTGATAAAGTGATACTATACATATATATATATACATATCTACATATCTACATATATGTGCGATAACACTCTAATCCCTGAAACCCAAAAAACCCTAAAGCCAGCACCTCGCCTCGGCTGCCGTAAGTGGGCCGGTCGCCTGCTGCTGGTGCGAAGGCGAGCCGACGTGGCCGTCGGCCTGGGCCTTAGGCACCGGGACGCCGACATAACAAAAACACTACTTTTTCGAGTATTTTTGCATGGCAGACACATGGCTTGAGGACCAACCACAAGTTGAGGTTGGGTTACCCACATCTCGACAAGGATTTTCAACTGCTCTTGAGTGTAGAGAGCTTCAGATTGTTTTTGGCCATGCCGCTCAGGCAGGTTACAGTGGAGAATGCCTCGGTGGCATGTCGTGGCATGCGCTGGCACATGAATTCTAAAGTGGGGCTCATGACTGGTGTTACCTACGAGCATCTCCAACACGAAACTCCGACGGTAAACTAACCAAAATCCCCGAATGCACCAACGGATACATACACCATCATACGTCTACATACATACACGTCTGAATACATAAAACTCATATACCCAAGCAGACAACCTGAGGTCTACAGATGTCCAACGTTTCTGCAGACTCGCACTGGTGCTAAGCAAACTTGTCTCTTGTTCTGGCCCTATCTCTCTCTCTCTCTCTGCCCTCTTGCGTGCACCGCAGGGGCTAAAACCGTGTTGAGCGAGTCCTTTCGCAACAAGTGAGCTCCAAACCAAGAAGCCCTCGACGTAGGTCAACTCTTGCCTGTGCCGTGGCGTACTTTCTGACTGTCCATCTGTTGACAATGAATACATTCTAACTTGTGGGAATAGCCAAATGAGGTACAGCAGCGAAACTCAGCGAGTATTGCTAGCCTCAGTCCGGCTGGTAGTTGCGTACACTAATCCCGCCTGAGCCTCGCGAGGCGGGCTGTGTCCTGTGCGCAAGGAGCTTTCGTTGCCAGCTTGCTTATTATATTTTATTATTATATTACAAAATATATTATATTATAGTATATTATATTATATTAAATTATATTATTTGCCGTTTCGGCTGGACTACACGCCTACGCACAGGGCGCTCCCAAAGGCTTTCTCGGCTTACAGAACCTCGGATCGGAACGCCCATAGGCGGAACGTCTGTAAGACACAGGCTTAGCATTATAATATATTATAATATAATATGTTATACTATATTATATTATACTATACTATATTATATAGTAAATTTTTCTATGCAAGAGTAAAAGTGGTGTCGGCGCGGACTTTCCACAAACGGCAACGTCTTCGTGGTGCCTGTAGGCACGAACCCACCAGCTGCGCTCGATGCTTCACGATAATTCACAAACTTTGGTGGTTCTGCAGGCATACGGATAATGGCAGCAGAGTGCGAGTGACAAGAACAGATGAATTCACATCTCATGGTATGCAGCGAGATATTTGTTCGAACACGAAGTTTTTCCTTTTGCAGCTGCTGCCGGTGCTGGCAGTAAACACTGCCAAAACCGACATTATTGGTGGCCTGGTTCTCAACATCATGACTATCGTCTTCTATTTTCCCTTTCGCTGATTTTACTGCAACTATACTCTACACTTCCGGCGGTCAGCAAAAACCGGAGTTTAGTAACTCTGAAGATGTGCCTAAAACCTCGAGACTCTAAGCGCTGAAACCTAAACACACTACACTCTAAACGCCCGTGACCAAAACCCTTGACTCTAACCCCCTCCAAAAAGATTCTGAAACCTGAAACCTTTCATTCAAGGAGAACCCTGTGCAAAACCCCAGGTTTTTGCATTCCCTGTGAAGTTCGTAGATTTTGGCCAACCCCACTGCGGCCCTACTACGATCCGAAAAACCCGGCAGCAACCCTGCTTCACAACTGGAAACCCTTTAAAAAAAATACCTGCAAGATCCAAACACCCTACAAAAACCCATAAAACCCTAAACCCTAAATCGTTTTGGGGCTGGGCCTGCGGGGAAGAGCTGCTCAAGGAGTCGACCTCCTCTCGCAGCCGCTTCCTGAAATTAGAGAGGGCGGCATCTAGGAATCGAAGCTGGAGTCCTTGGTTGTTGCTTTTCGTTGCTCTGGGCTTGTGCGTTTGCGGGTTTTCAGGGCTTCCGGGTGCAGGACTTAGGAAGATTTGGGGTGTATGGCGTATGGGTTTTTTGGGCTTCGAGCCTTGTTGCAATGGAACAGAGTAGAAGAGTTCAGCACCACAAGCTGTAGTTACAGGGCAACATAGGGGCATTGAAGAGTAGAATAGGATGTGGGGCTATCGGTGTATTATCGAATAGTCAGGTGATGTTTACTCCCACGTGATCAGACCTCTGAGTGCCGCAAGATCCAAGACCGGAGTCGCCAAAAGCGGGTCCTGTATGTCATATAAGCTGCCACCTCACAAGAGACTGACTACCAGCGATGCCAAAAAAACTACAGATATGAGAATACCTGTCGCCAGCCTTCATCTTCACAGCCTTAAGGCTGCAAGTAATACGACTCTGGTGTTGTTAAACAAAACAACTCCCAAACCCCTGGTTTGGGACGCCGGCCGGAGCTCTCGCTTCTCTTGCTTCAGCTTCATCTCCTCGCGAACACCCCGAGGCCAATAGCAATCACATGATGTTCAGACTGGCAATAATTAATATATGCATATACATATACATACATATATATATACACATACATACTCGGTTGTAGTTTCGGGCCACCCAAAATTATTCATATGAGTACCTCTATAGGAACCATAAGGGATGTCAAAGTTTGTCAAAGTGCCAGCCAGTATAAACATATACTCATACATATATAACATATATACCCATATATATATATATATATATTTGTTTTTTCCCAAGTGTCGCGTGTCGGTACACCCACCCCCCCCCCCCCGGCATCTCCCCCCATGGTATACACCCGAGATCCTCGTGAGGGTCGTCACTTTTTTGCATCACAAGTGCCAACAGTCACAGGAATCGGCCCCCCGAACCTGGGATCCTCGTGAGTGTTGTGACTTTGAAGCTATGCAAGTTCGTGGCGTGTCCAAAGTGGCGACACTCACCTGGATGGGCCATAGTTTCGGTCTGCGCCGCGCCCAGCTGCTGACCCTCAACCCTAATCCCATTCATATCTATACGCGTAAACCCTTAAACAACCCCGCCACCCACT